CAAACGCCCGCGGACACTGAGGCCCCGCCTGCCCCAAACGCCCGCGGACACTGAGGGAGGCGGGCGCAGGGCCTTTCTCTCCTGCCCAGGACATGGGCTGGGACCGCCCCTCAGTGGGAACTAATAAAGGGAACTCTTCTGCTCATGTCCCTCCGCTCACTCTGGGCAGACCGAGGCCGAGACAGGCCTGGCGTCGGGGAGCAGACAAACGTGACTGGACGTAAACACGTGGTGGGATGTGATCGCGGTCAGGGAGGGTGGGCCACGGGGAGGGGCTAGACTCTGCCGGGGGGCAGGGGGGCCAAGGGCAGAAGCGGGCAGGGCTGCACCAGGAGCCTCCGCCACTGGGGCCTGGAGGGCAGCTGGCCTCAGTGCCTCTGCCACGGCCAGTGGCGACCTTTCTAGAAGCTCCCTGACTCCTTGGGCTCCAGGCACTGGCTGCAAAGGAGGCTGGTACAGGAGTGCCTCCTGCCCGGGGCTGGCATGCTGCTGCCCAGGCAGCAGGCTCTGAGGTGGCAGGGAGGGTGGCCTAGTGGCGGGCGACATGGTGTGACTTCTGGTCTGAAGGAGCCCCCTCTGACGGCGCTGGGCCGACTGCTGGGGGCAGGGAGAGAGGGCCAGGAGGCTGCCGTGGTCACCGGGGCAACGCCGCTGCTCATTGGACACTCCCGTGGCCCTAGCCAGCCAGGCAGTCACCCAGGCCAGAGGTCACCCAGCCAGGCAGAGGTCACCTAGGAGTGCCAAGGTCACCCAGGAGTGCAGGGGTTACTAGGGGTACGGAGGTCACCAGGGGTTGTGGAGGTCACCCAGCCAGGCGGAGGTCACCAGGGGTGTGGAGGTCACCAGGGGTGTGGAGGTCACCAGGGGTGCAGGGGTCACACGGGTGCAGAGGTCACTAGGGGTGTGGAGGTCACCAGGGGTGCAGAGGACAGAAGCCAGCTGGGCGGCAGGACCCCTTCGCCAGCCCCGCGCATGGACACAAACCCTGCTGCTCAGGCTGAAGCAGAGGCGAGCCTGGGAGCCATCCCCAGCCCAGGGTGGTGGCCGGGCCCTGGGTTAGGAACTCGCCCGTCTCGGTGGCGTGCCTGTTCCCACCAAGGCCAGTCCAGCCGCCACATGGCGTCACTGAGCCCATCGTCAGGAAGGGGTGCCTGTGGGCCCCAGCACCACTGCGCAGTGGGGAAGGCCCAGCTGACCAGCTCAGGGGCCCGCCCGCCTCCACAGGCGCCCCCACAGGGCTCATCGTTGGACCAACACTGGGCCTGCTGGCTGGCCTGGCTGTGTGTGTGGCCCATCAGGGCGGCC